AAAGCTATCATATGAGACCGGAAATGACATTTTCTAAACCGGATGTTGACAATTATTTCTATTATTTCAGGCAAAAGTCTATAGAAACCATATGTTTATTGAATCAGTATGAAGAAATCTATAATTGGACGCCAATAGTAGCTTTGAGTAAACTAGAATTAGCTTCTCATCAATCATTTAGAAAATTGATGTGGAAAGACCTTCAATTGTTCTTTGAACAATTGGTTTTTAATTATTATTTTTTTTTTTCTTCCGCCAAATTTTGTTCTTGTGATAAATATTTGTTTCGCAATATGTCGCTTAGATATTTCTCATATTGTATCGTATAGTTTCTGCGCTTTTAAATTTTACCCTGCTAAGCCGAACAATTATCTTTGTAAGAGTTATCTCCCTATTCACTGTTTATCAAGTGTGTGCATCTCCTTCGTAACAAAAAAAGATATCGACAAAATTCTTTTTCTAAATTGTTCGTTACATCCTCAGGAATTTTTGGCTAATTTGGATCGAAGCGATTCGATGAAATTTTATAGGAGTTATCTACCTTTATCAAATAAATTTGTCCTTATGTTTTTGTTACTCATAAACTGTAAGCCGTATAAACCTATAGTCTTTTTATTTATATCCTTGGATCCTAACTTCGAAAATGAGGTCAAGGTCAAAGGTCAAGGTCATGTTCTGAATTTTGTCTTTTGCTTGTTTTTGCATTTTTCCGATATTTTTAATGCTATATATTAAAGAACAAGTGCAAAATGTTTGTTATATTGTGATGAAGATATGATACATTTGGTCTGAGACAATCCAGCGACATCTTATTGGAGTTATTGCCCCTGAAATGTTTTATTTTAAGGTAAATTGATTATTACTTCATATTGGTACATGATAAAGCCATAAGATCTTTTGCAAAATGTTGGGTGACATATGACCTTGAAAAATGTCAACCGGAAGTGACCTTGAGTGAACCGGAAGTAGTCATTTTTGCACTTATTTCATGTAGAAGTACATAGAAACCATATATTTTTTGAATGGTCATACATTAATCTATCATTTGAGACCAGAAGTGATATTTTATAAACCGGAAGTAGCATATTATCTCCCTTATTACAGGCATAAGTATATATAAACCATATATTTTTGGAATCAGTGTAAATAAAGCTAACATATGAGACCGAAAGTGACATTTTCTAAACCGGAAGTAGCCAATTATCTCCCTTTTTACAGGCAAAAGTATATATAAACCATATATTTTTGGAATCAGTGTAAATAAATCTATCATATGAGACCGAAAGTGACATTTTCTAAACCGGAAATAGCCAATTATCTCCCTTTTTACAGGCAAAAGTATATATAAACCATATATTTTTGGAATCAGTGTAAATAAAGCTATCATATGAGACCGGAAATGACATTTTCTAAACCGGATGTTGACAATTATTTCTATTATTTCAGGCAAAAGTCTATAGAAACCATATGTTTATTGAATCAGTATGAAGAAATCTATAATTGGACGCCAATAGTAGCTTTGAGTAAACTAGAATTAGCTTCTCATCAATCATTTAGAAAATTGATGTGGAAAGACCTTCAATTGTTCTTTGAACAATTGGTTTTTAATTATTATTTTTTTTTTTCTTCCGCCAAATTTTGTTCTTGTGATAAATATTTGTTTCGCAATATGTCGCTTAGATATTTCTCATATTGTATCGTATAGTTTCTGCGCTTTTAAATTTTACCCTGCTAAGCCGAACAATTATCTTTGTAAGAGTTATCTCCCTATTCACTGTTTATCAAGTGTGTGCATCTCCTTCGTAACAAAAAAAGATATCGACAAAATTCTTTTTCTAAATTGTTCGTTACATCCTCAGGAATTTTTGGCTAATTTGGATCGAAGCGATTCGATGAAATTTTATAGGAGTTATCTACCTTTATCAAATAAATTTGTCCTTATGTTTTTGTTACTCATAAACTGTAAGCCGTATAAACCTATAGTCTTTTTATTTATATCCTTGGATCCTAACTTCGAAAATGAGGTCAAGGTCAAAGGTCAAGGTCATGTTCTGAATTTTGTCTTTTGCTTGTTTTTGCATTTTTCCGATATTTTTAATGCTATATATTAAAGAACAAGTGCAAAATGTTTGTTATATTGTGATGAAGATATAATACATTTGGTCTGAGACAATCCAGCGACATCTTATTGGAGTTATTGCCCCTGAAATGTTTTATTTTAAGGTAAATTGATTATTACTTCATATTGGTACATGATAAAGCCATAAGATCTTTTGCAAAATGTTGGGTGACATATGACCTTGAAAAATGTCAACCGGAAGTGACCTTGAGTGAACCGGGAGTAGTCATTTTTGCACTTATTTCATGTAGAAGTACATAGAAACCATATATTTTTTGAATGGTTATACATTAATCTATCATTTGAGACCGTGAGTGATATTTTATATACCGGAAGTAGATTATTATCTCCCTTATTACAGGCAAAGGTATATATAAACCATATATTTTTGGAATCAGTGTAAATAAAGCTATCAAATGAGACCGAAAGTGACATTTTCTAAACCGGAAGTAGCCAATTATCTCCCTTTTTACAGGCAAAAGTATATATAAACCATATATTTTTGGAATCAGTGTAAATAAATATATCATATGAGACCGGAAGTGACATTTTCTAAACCGGAAGAAGCCAATTATCTTCCTTTTTACAGGCAAAAGTATATATAAACCATATATTTTTGGAATCAGTGTAATTAAAGCTATCATATGAGACCGGAAGTGTTATTTTCTAAACCGGAAGTTGACAATTATTTCTATTATTTCAGGCAAAAGTCTATAGAAACCATATGTTTATTGAATCAGTATGAAGAAACCTATGATTGGACGCCAATAGTAGCTTTGAGTAAACCAGAATTAGCTTCTCATCAATTATTTAGAAAATTGATGTGGAAAGACCTTCAATTGTTCTTTGAACAATTGGTTTTTAATTATTATTATTTTTTATTTTTTTTTTCTTCCGCCTAATTTTTAAATTTTTTTCTTGAGTAGTATTGTTGTGCGACAAGATGTCGCTTAGATATTTGGTATATGATATCGAACAGTTTATACGCTTTTGAAACTTACACTGCTTAACCGAACACTTTACGTTGTAAGAGTTATCTCCCCAAACACTGTTCTTCTTGTGTCCACTACTCCTTCGCAACCGTAAAAGATTATGACAAATTTATTTTACAAAATTGCTCGTTATATCTTCAGGATTAGGATGACCTTTTGCACTGAAGCTATCCGGAGACTCCATATGAGAGTTATTTCTCCTTATGCATTTGATATAAGTGATTTGCAGTTTTAACTGGTAAACCATAAGTGATAGAGACCTAGGGTTTTTTTGATTTGAGGTCCTTGGTCCAAAAAAAAAGAAAATTAGGTCATAGTCAAAGGTCAAGGTCATATTCTAAAGTTTGATTTTGGATTATTTTCATTTTGATTTGAGGTCCTTGGATTATGACCTTGAATTTGAGGTCAAGGTCATAGGTAAATAAGACGTTCTAGATTTTGACCTTTGCTTTTACTTCATATGTATACATAATAAAGCCATTTTTGCAGACTGTATGTAATGTTAACTGGAAGAAAAACTAAGTCCATTTATAAGTAATATACGGAAAAACAGGAAACAAATTTTTACAAAATTTCCTTCTAGATACTAGCTTTTGATCATAAATAAGCTTCTGTCCAAGTTAGATACAAATCCAGGATAGTTTAAGAGAGTTATTAAAATTTTAAAAACTTTAACCACATATCTAGAGTGAATGTAATGTAAACTGGAAGAAAACCTAAGTCCATTTATAAGTAAAATACAGATAAACAGGATTTTATTTTACAAAATTTACTTCTGGATACTATCTTATAATCATAAACAAGCTTCTGTCCAAGTTTGGTACAAATCCAGGAAAGTTTAAGAAAGTTATCGAAATTTTAAAAACTTTAACCACAGAGTGAATATTTGTGGCCGCCACCGCCGACAGAATGTAGGATCGCTATGTCTCACTTTTGCAACAAAAGTCGCAGGCTCGACAAAAAGGGGGGATTTTCCAGTTTTCCAACAATAACTCAAGAATGCTTTCACCAACTTGCAAGGAATTTTGATGAATTGTTTATATCTATTGACATGAGCTCCCTTTTGATTTTTATGAATTTTAGATTTTACGTTTCCGAGTTACAGGGTTTTATTCATAAAAAAGGGGGATTTTCCAGTTTTCGGACAATAACTAAAAAATGCTTTCAGCAGGTCTCATGAAACCTTGGTGAATTGTTTATATCTGTTGATGTAAGCTCCCTTTAGAATTTTATAAATTTTAAATTTTAAATTTCTGAGTTATGGGGTTTTATTCATTAAAAAAGGGGTGATTTTCCAGTTTTTGGACAATAACTCAAAAATGCTTTCAGCAGTTCTCATGAAACTTTGGTGAATTATTTATAGCTATTGATGTAAACCCTCTATTGATTTTCATAAATTTCAAATATGACATTGAGAAGAAATTGAACTTTATTTGTTTATAGTCTGACAACAGATTAACCAAGTATTGCACAACAGCAAGAAATCTTTAACTGAAGATAAATTCAATTCATATAAGTTCTTTGACTACATTTATTCAGAAACCTATAATATGTCAAATATTTAATTACAATCCAAATTCAGACCTGTATCAAGCTTGAATATTGTGTCCATTTTTGCCCCAACTGTTCAGGATTGGACCTCTGCGGGTGTATCCAGCTGCGCTCAGCGAGGCAGTTTATTTTAAATAAGCAAACAAGTACGGTAGCTATCATTTGACACTGGAAATGCCATTTTTAACCAACTTTTAATATTTTGATATCAAAATAAATTCTAAAAAGTAGAAAGACGGAGGTCGGGTGACATATTGTTATTGTTCGTCTTTTTTTATTATGGCACCCTCAACTGAGTTTGGGTGACTTATTATTATTCTACTTAGATTTGTACTCACCAAATGTGTTCTTTTGGAAAGGACTTGTGTCCGCTATTGTGAAATTTGATCTCTTCATAAATTTTAATATTTTGATGATGTCTTCCTCACTAAATTAGGTACTTATCAATCCAACTACACTGTCTCCTGGCCTCATATTTAAATCTGGAATTTGGAATTCTTTGATTCCAATGCAAATTCCATTAAGATCGCCTGTTTCAAATGTAGTTTCTTTTTTTTCTGAAAATGAATACTAGAATTAGCTGTCTGTGTCAACTAATCTTGGGGTGAATGATTCTATGGGTATCTTGTATAAAGTTTCTGTTTTAAATATATGTTAGTCCTATAATATAAGACTTCGGAGTTTCATATCATTTACATTCAACGTTTTTTATCGGATATTTTTTTTTTACTATCAATGTTCGGGTTTCAACATTGATAGTAAAAAAAAATATCCGATAAAAAACGTTGAATGTAAATGATATGAAACTCCGAAGTCTTATATTATAGGACTAGGTAAATGCTAATTCAACTGCACACCAAATATCATTGACTTTCCACTAGTGATTTCCCATTAACTGACCTAATATCAAACGTAAATACATTGTTGATGGCACAGCCTCAACTGCTGCATCTTCAAACAGGATGCCTAATGTGAGGGTAACCAAATTGTACCGATTTTGACAGTTTGACCTAAAGCATTATGTTGTTCGGTCTGTGCATCTGTTGTCCGTTTGTCACGCTTCAGGTTAAAGATTTTGGTCAAGATAGTTTTTGATGAAGTTGAAGTCCAATCAACTTGAAACTTAGTACACGTTCCCTATTACATGATCTTTCTAATTTTAATGCCAAATTAGAGTTTTGACGCCCATTTCAAGGTCCACAGAACATAGAAAATGATAGTGCGAGTAGGGCATCCGTGTACTATGGATATTCTTGTTTCACCTATGTTTATTTATGATCCAGACAAAAGTTTCCGTTCTGTGTTTATTATTTAAATGTATCATTATTCACTATATGGTTTCACCAGTTTAATTTAGAATCCATATTGAACATAGGTAAATATATTATAGAGGTAACTGTATAATATTGCCCCTTTTTATTTTTTGAAAATCACAAAGCTTGAGTGGGAGCATTTAAGTCCTCAAAAACATTATCCTCAAAGGAAAACATTTGTAAATTTCTTTGATGTCAGTGTCAGAACTGAGAACATCCTGTTTGTAGATGTGTTCTGGGATAAGATGATCATGATGACTTCATATGATGTCCCCCTGAGAGTATCAATCTGACCTCCATTTCTTTTTTGTTAAAAAGTCGGGTCATTTTCATACAATCATTTATCCAATGGATTTTTAAAAAAAATCTTCTTACAAAAATGAACTTTTGTGTCATCTTTTTTTAGCAGTTTAAAAATTTAGTTTTCTTTATAATCATACCTATATAAATTATTCCTTCCTGATTTAATCCTGCCGCTAAATTCTGAAGTGTGTCTTCCAAAAAGGCTGCTTCAGCTTTTGTTGTCTGTGAAGAAATAATGATGTGTTATACATAAATATCAACACTTGTTAGTTTTCATGAATCATTTTCTTCATGGAGGTGGGTTTTTTCTATTACTAAAAATGGGGTTAAAATCAGTTTGTGGCAAATTTCTCTATAAATATATTTGTGTACAGCAGTTAGAGGAAAACTGACTGGATAATGATGATAAACAGAATAAGTTTAAGGAATTTTCTGAAAAGTAAGATAGCCCATTTGTGGCCCTTGAAATGTTAATTAATATTTAGCAAATTTCAGTTTTAAGTTATCTTGAAAACTACAGTTAACAAATAAAGAGAAATTTTAAACACTTAAAGGGGCACTAGCTGTCAAATTCATGTTCACCGATTTGACTCAAATTTTCATATTTGATTTATAACAATGTAAAACATTTATCCAAACTATTAAAAGTCTAAAATAAACAATTTACAGGGCATGGGCTCGATAATATGTAACTTCGTTTCGTGTGTATTTTAGTCTAGACGCCATCTAATTAACTATCGAGTTGACCTCCGAAGTTGTCCGATGACCATATAAGCGATGTAAACATAGATATAGATATAAATAGATTAAGCGAACTCGTGCAATGGGATTTTTCTGTCTTTTTAATTTCGTATTATAGTTTATCATCGTTTTTACCTTTATAAGAATGATTTTTGTGGATCGAATCAGTCAATCAGATGATTTACTTTTGTTTCACTTTTAATGTTGACATTCTTTTCCTTTAAATAACTTTACACGAACAATTCATGCGTTATCCATCTCTAGATAAGGGGTTAAATTGAAGTTCACATGAATACGGATTCAATGAGGTCGAATTATTCACTTGCAAGTGAATAATTCGTCATCCATGTTTCTTAGCTTATTTTGACAAAATTGAACCATACTGGCTACTAAAAGCGAATAATTATTTCACTATTTCACATGTTTCAGTTTCATTAATGATTGAACAAAAAAAAATCCTATTTTAGATTTTTTATATATCTCGTAGCCCCTTTAAAGAACCAGAACAAGAAGATCTACAAAAAAGTCAAATGAAGCAGAACTTGTCATTTGGCCTGATATAGGAGTTATTACCCATTTTTATATATTGGTATGACGTTGGCGTCTTCGTCATCGTCTGAAGACACATTGGTTTTCCCACTCTAACTTTAGTTTAAGTGAATGGATCTCTTTGAAATTTTACCATAAGGTTCAATACCACAAAAGGAAGGTTGGGATTGATATTGGGGGTAATTGCCTCCAAATATTAGGAATTAGGGGCAAAAAAGGGGCAAAAAAACAAGCATTTTTCCAGTTTCATGACAATAACTTGTGTGTAAGTGTATGGATCTTTATGAAATTGTACTACAAGGTTCCATATCTCAAAGGGAAAGCTGGAATTTAGTTTGGGTGTAATTGCCCAAAACGTTTAGAAATAAGGGGCCAAAAATAAGCATTTTTCTAGTTTCCAGAAAATAACTTGTGTTCAAGTGTATGGATCTCTCTGAAATTGTACTGCAAGGTACCATACCACAAAGGGAAGGCAAGGATTGAGTTTTGGGGTGATGAATCATAAGAGAGTTCAAAAAATTTGGGAGGGGGATTTTTTTTTCCTTTTTATTCTTTAAAATTTTCCATTTTAAATTGCTTATTTCTGATTTATATATAAAAACAAATAATATTGATATGGTTTGAAAAGGTAAATTAAATTTTTTTTTTCAGTTCAGACTCTTGGACCACATTCATTCTGTGTCAGAAACCTATGCTGTGTCAAATATTTAATCACAATCCAAATTCAGTGCCGTATCAAGCTTGAATGTTGTGTCCATACTTGCCCCAACTATTCAGGGTTCGACCTCTGCGGTCGTATCAAGCTGCGCCCAACGGAGATTTTATTTGAATTGTTTTTAGAAAATTACAATAGAAATTGTTGGAAGCAAAAATGTTCGGCAAAATAAGATCAATGAATATTTAAGTCTGCATATAGAAGTTAGTGTCCTTGAAATACTAATTTTATGAGCTTTTTGCAGAAACTTCGATAGTTACAGAGCATCAAAATAAAGCAAAAATGTTAAGCAAAATAATTTCTTCAAATCAGTCAAAAAGGTTGAACTGGTCAATTAACACCTTAGAGGGGTTATTGCCCGTGAAAGATAATTTCAACCCATTTTTGCATAATTGCAGAAACTTTAATAGATGGAACATTGTAGAATGGAACTGTAAATAGCAAATATGTTCAACACAATAAGATAATGTCATGAGATTAGATTACTATTGTTTGTTTTACCTTCATATACGGACATTCAGCTCCACAGATACTTCCTTTAAAAATCCTTGTGAATGGTAGAATTTCAGAAACTTCACCATTAAAGAATGCTGTAACCTGTTATAAAACAAAATTAGATGTTGAATGGTTTCTTATCTTGCTTGCATAGTGTAATGTAGAATTTTAACCTGTTCATGGAGAAAATTTACAACTATTGTTATTTTATTGCCATTCCGATAAGTATTATAATATGTATTAGATACAATACAAAGGTAACAAAGAAACAGGCCGGTAACAACCGTTGCCGGATAGTTTTTCTGCACGAGTAGTCAGGTGAAGGTCCGAGGCGATAGCCGAGGACCTTGACCTGACTACGAGTGCAGAAAAACTATTCGGCAGTTTGTTTCCGGCCTGTTTTTTGTTACCTTTGTTTTGTATCTGACTTGTACGACGTTTCAAGAAAGAAGTAGTACATTTTGCATGTAGAAGAGGTATCAAAATTTAACAGATTCGAAACTTAAATGGCCATATACCAGTTAATGTAAGTTACAGTAAGACAGTTTAAACAAACTTTTTTTTCACTTCCCTTCAGCCTATAGTGTTTTCTAAAGAAATTCAAGATTCTAATAATTTCATAAAAAAAGAACCATGTTAAGTAAAAGATGAATGTCGTACACATTTGAGACTTTTAAAAATGCATCTTCGCAAGTAAGTAATGGATGAAAAAGATTTCAGAGGTAAGCAAGCTAACATATGATTTTTATTTGGGGGAAAACGGAAAGGGGGGCTGGGGGTTAAAATAAATTAAAAATAAACAGGCTTGATTCTTTTTTTTTTGAAAACATGCAGAATGTGTCATTACATTCCCCCATTCCGCCTTAAAAAATAATAAAAATCGTAAGTTTGCTCCCAAATATATAAATTCAATAACAATATAAAAAGAATGAATTTCCTATTTCATTAGTGAATGAAATGGTACGAAAAAAATCGATTTTGTTAAAATCACCCATATATAGGCATATATTGTGGATTTTTTTTTTAAATTATGCTTATAGGTTTTTATATATGTCTCTAATAGTGTTGGTCAGGATCAAACACGTGTCGCAATATGATCCAATCGCAGCTTACCGTCCAAAATTGGTGACATAAGTTGAATGATTTTCTTCAAGAATTGCTGCCTATTTGAACATGTGTTACACGGACACTTTTTATTTATAGGACCAATCGTGCTTTGGTGAGTTGAAAGGGATTTTATCTTTTGATTAGATTTGATTTTTTTATATATATTTCCTGTCTTTTTTATTGAAATATAAACGTCGGTACCAGCATTTCTTTACTTTCAGCATTGTCCAGAATACTATTCATGTCCATATATTGAAAAAATAAATACATTTACGGGCCGACCATTTAGCTTCAAAAGGGGGGTATGTTTTTTTTTCTGAGTAAGAAAATAATTTAGTTTATCAACGCTATCACCCAAATATTTTTTTTCGAAATTAGCACTTTTATATGCGGTATTCGGAAAATCAGGAATCAGAACATTATTTTGTCATCTGATTGACCACAATATATTTTTTTCTCATAAAATTGGGGATCAGAATATTTTTTTAGGAAAAAACATAACTCCCCTTTTGAAGTTAAATGGTCAATCCCTTAGTGTACTGATATGAATAGTAATATAATGGAATTGTTTGAAAAAAATATAGTTATTGATGCCAACGTAAATATTTTAATGAAAAAGACAAGAAATATGTCGGTGAAACAAAAAGTTCAAATCTAATTGAAATTTAAAGTGCCCATGAACTCACTGATCATGCACGAGTGATTCTATTCATAAAAAGTGTCCGTGTAACAACTAAAAAGTGTCCGTGTATGATCTAAAGAGTGTCCGTGTAACACCCGTTAATGTACTGTTTTTCTATAGCTCTGCTGGGGGCAAAGTCGTACAAAGCATTATTACTCTTTCTCATTAAAGGCTTTTTGTCAATGCATATCATACATGATGTTTTCTGTATAAAACATAAAATAAAATGCATGATTGGGGTTGTGCGACTGTAAGGTATGTATAACAGATAACATTTTAGATGAATTTTTTTTTAAACCATTATTTGCAGGTTTTGTACTGGTCTTTTTAGCTAGATAATTTTTCCAGCAAAGGCACTCTTTGGTGTGATAAAGTGACTTTGAAATAATAACGCTTTGAACCTGCGTAGCACGTTGTGGGGGACATGGAAATACCGGGTGTCCCTCCATCCGTAAGTCCGGTCTTGTTAGCGCTCTCACAGGTACAATTCTTGCAAGATTTTGATAAAACTTATACTGTAGGTTAATATCAGCAATATCTCAGACAAATTATATTATGGTGGAAGATCGACTTTTTTAAAAAGAGTTATGCCCCTTGGAAATATTACATTATTTGAAATGGCCTCGTTAGCGCTCTCACAGGTACAATTGTTGCCTAATTTTAAAAAAAACTTATACTATAGGTTAATATCAGCAATATCTCGGACAATTTCTATAATGGTGGAAGATCGACTTTTTTGAAAGAATTATGCCCCTTGGAAATATTAAATTTATGGAAATGGCCTACTTAACGCTCTCACGGGTACAATTCTTGCCAGATTTTTTAGAAAACTTATACTATAGGTTAATATCATCAATATCTCGAACAAGTTCAATAATGGTGGATGATCGACTTTTTTTAAACGATTTATGCCACTTGGAAATATAAAATATAAAAACGTGGGGGACATAATGGAACTCTGTTCTTTATTGTGATTTAGTTAGTTTACATGTGCATGCAACTATATGAAATAATTAAACGTACTGTAATTTCTTCACCATCGAGGAATTCTTCTAATACATTGCTTTCCATTGCCTTTGGTTCCATGGTCCTTTACTGTTTAATAAGATTGTCACAAGTGAACATTAAAGAGTTTTTCCTCACATTTAATGTTTTATCCCGGCCAAAGAGTATGGAGAAAGTTGTGTGTGTTCTCAAAATCTCAAAAGTAATGTCATCATTCATAAGTTGTGAAAAAAGAAATTGTAGGTCACCTCATTTAAAAATACTTCTTACATTTTCTTAAGTGAGATGATTGCACAATTTTAAGGTGCAGTACTTAATCTTTATAGTACTATTTTCATTTTTCTATCGGTTTACTCTCCAGGAAGCTCCCAAATAGCTGTGGCAACATTTTAGCTCACCTAGGTGAGTTATTCCCATTTCGACATCTGTCTGGTGTCATCTGTTGTTTTCCTTGTCAACTTTTTCAATGATCTTCTCCTGTAAAACTACTGAACCAATTTCAGCCAGACTTTGGGTGAATAATCCTAAGCACCGCTTTCATTCGGTATATTGAGAAAAATATCGTTAAAGATTATAGTGGTCAAGCATTGCAAACGGATTATGAAAGATCTGGTATCAGATTGTGAATGTAATCAATTGTAATAAGTCCCCTACCAACGAAGTCGAAGGGGACTTAAGGTTTGCACTCTGTTGGTCTGTCTGTCCATCCATCAGTCCGTCAGTCCGGCAAATCAGTTTTTCACACTTTTTTTGTCATTCTTGAAGATATTTATTAGAAAATTGGTATATAGTTTTATGATATGACAGGTTACAGTACAAGTTTGAATTTTGTTTCGGTCTGATGATTTTGTGCAGAGTTATGCATGGTCCTTGATTCTCTTTAAAAATCAGTTTTCGACACTTTTTTTGTCATGCTTGAAGAAATTGACATGATTGACTTGATATTTGTTATAAAGTTTACACAATGACAAGTTAAAGATCATAACACAGAGCAAATCTGTCTGTCTGTCAAAATGATTACTTTCTCAATAATACTGTGCAATAATGATAAAGAAAATATGCAGTGCTTTATGAGAAACCACAAAAGGCGCAACACAAGTCTATGGCATTCATTAAAAATAAAGACATGTTTTAAACCTATAATGGTCACTATATAATGATATATTTGAAACTGAATCTTTGGTGTATCAGATAGTACAGTACCTTGAAACAATTCATTTTGTTTTTTGAAAACATTGAATTTTGTTGATTTTTTCATCAAATTTATCTTGAAAGATCTGGCAAAGCATTATCTTGATTGTTAAAAGACAAGACGTAAACGACGGGTACAGAATGTTTGTGCATATTTACCTGTAACACTAAAGGACATTTGCGCTTTAAACTTTGATACACATGTACAAAATTGACAAGACATTTGTGCTTTTTACTTATAACAGTTAACCTGTAATCTTAGAAAATTTACCAAAGTCATATGAAAGATGTACTTATAATTTCTTTGAAAGAACAAACAACAAAATCAGAAAAAAATATTCTGGTAAACCAGACATATTATAAAAATTATAGTCTACTTTTCTAGGTAAGTGATATAGCAAAATGAAACTTTTATGGATGGAACATTTAAATTTAGACTGAATTCTTCGATTAGCTTTTTATTTAGGCGATTTAAAATTGGAAACTATATTCCCTTTGTGTCTATTCTGTTGCGTGAATAGTCTGAGGAACTGTACCATCATAGTTAAACAAAGCTTGTTTCAATTTGTAAAGACCAACATTTTTTTTAAACCATCGAATGTTTTGAATGTTTTGCGCTGGACCAGACTTAATAATCAGAGCACAAAATTTCTTTGACCAATTGATATACTTGCAACTTAAGTTGAAGCATGTAATTATTTTAATAAGAATGAACACTGGCGCTTTCATGTTTTTATTTTTTATTTCAACACTTTTCCTTAAAAGTTATTCAAATAACTAAAAACGTGTCTAGATATAGTAAGTAGATTTACAAGATAAAAGGACCTTCAGGAGTGTAAATTGTCGTAAAGTAAAAGTATATATGTATCTATAATGCTTAATGTATCCGCCCTGGAAATATATGCATGTGTACACATTTTTTTTTTTTTTTTGGTAAAATGGTTGTATTACTTTCAGTTATATGGAGTGTTGTTCGTGCGTACATAGTATGACAAAATTTACTAATTTATTGTTTATTTCGTGGCTGCCCTATCATAAACTAAAAAGGTACCAAGATATGTTATTTTACTTGATTGTTTTATCAGTCTGTTCACAATAGCTTTACGTCACTGTACCCAACTTAGTGGGGAAATTACCAATCAACATACCACGAGTGTGCATGATGCCCAGCTTAAACTGTAATTTAGCCAATTACACTCTATTCTCAATCTTAAGCT